CCCAGGGCTCCTCTCCAGGGAGTGGTGGTGGGCAGGTTAATGGGTGAGATGGTTCCAGGAACTTGGCTTGAAAAGACTCTGAAAGGAAGCCTCCACCTGTGGGGTGCTCGCATCTGGGGTGGCAGTGCGTGGAGGAGCAGGTTCCAGAGGGCAGAGTTCTTGTCTCTGCCTGGATGACCACATTATTTCTCCGAGCCTCAGTTTACTAAACTGTAGAATGCTGGCCGTGGGGGCAGGGTGAAGGCCCAGTTTGGAGGAGGGATGGATGCTGGACCAGTGGAGCCACGAGAGCCCTTGGAACACTGATGTTCTGTGTCTAGCAAGGCACCTGCATATTCTGATGAACGAATAAGTGAGTGACTTTGAACATCTCCGAGCTAATCATCTGATTTAGGTAAAGGAGCCCTGGTCCCTCCCTTTGGCAATCACTGGCACGTGATCCCTGCTGTTCCCACCTTCCTTCCCCTTCAGAGGGGCAGCAGTTTTCTGTACCACTGGAGTGTTCTAGTCCAAGGGCGATGGGTTGCCCTTCCCCCACCCTTGACTTCAAATGTCCTACCAATGTTTATCTAGACTCACCATCTCAGAACCTCCTCTGAGCAGGTCCTGTGTGTACCATCCCATTGCCTCACCCTTCAAGTATGCCGCTAGTTTCATTCCCACGTTGGGAACAGGGAAACTGAGGCATGAGAGTCTAACTGGCTCAGGGTCAGGAGGCCACCTCACTGGTGAGAGTCAGCCTGGGGGCAGGTCTGCACTTGTCCCTGGATCCCAGGGCTCCCAGGATCGCCCCACCTGGAGCAGACCCAGCAAACGTGTGGGGATGGAGTCATCAACATCCCAGTCTTTGGAAGGACTCTTCCCAGGAGCTGGTCGGGGTGGACAGGAGCTCAAAGGGGATCATGAACCCTTTAGAAATGTAAAGCGCTATAAATATTAACTACAAGAAGCCTGTTTTCATAATCTCCCATTTTCCATTGAGTTGCAAATTCTTGTACATTTTTTTGCTCTCTGGGAAAGATGAAGGCAGCTTGTTTAATAACTGTACTATTAGCAAGTTATCAAGTATTTGATTTCATTTTCCAGAAAGCACCTCAGTGACTGGGGGAATCATTTCACATCTGCCTTTTCCACTCACACTCAGCATTTCCAGCCTCGCGGCCAGGACTCCTCGGTGTAAAATTGTCTGCGTATCACGGTTGAGGGAAATTATTTTTTAAAGGGAGGAAAAGAGTATCCAATTTACAGATGTCTTGTGTGGTGCACGAAGCAAGAACGACTCTTCCCGGCCCCAAGTGTGGACAGATTTAGCAGGCGTCAACAGAACGCAGGAATGGGTGTCAGATGGATGCAACTTCATAAAAGTTCTTGGTGAAACTCACGCAGTCAACTTTGTATTGCTTAGAATTTGGAGCCTCGCATTCACCTCCCCTGCCCCTTCCCTCCCCGGCAGGGATTCTTGACTCTCTAGAACAACTGGGGAGGAGTTGATGGCCTGTCCTTTCCTGGGCACACGGTGCTCCTGCTGCTGTCTGCTGTCTCCCATTTCACCATGTTTCCTATCTGTAGGGGCCACGTCGTGTCTCACAAAAGTGCTCGTCCGCCGGAAACCCTGAATGTGGCCTTATTTGGAATTACGGTCTTTAGAGATATAACTAGTGAAGGATGCTGAGATGGGGAGATGGGCCTGGGTTATTCGGGTGGGTCCAGTGTCATCACAAAGGGCCTCGTGGGAGAGAGGCAGGGGCCACAGTCAGGGAGGAGGCGTAGTGTGATCGCTGACTTTGAAGATGGAGGGGGGGCCACAAGCCAAGCACTGCAGGTGGGCTGGAGATGCTGGAAGAGGCCAGGACACTGATGGTCCCCTGGGGACTCCAGAAGGGGTGCAGAACTTCCCACCTGGAAGGCTCTCAGTCTCTGGAAAGACACTCAGTCTGTGGTCATTTGTTACAGCCGTGAGAGGAGACCAGTTCAGGCGTCCATGCTAGGCGTCCAGGAGAAAACTCAGGATGGTGGTCCGCCCCACCCACCAGGTCTGACTGACCTCAGGCCTGGCATTCACCTCTCCAGCAGGTTATGGGTTCACCTCTTAGTCCAACCCACCACAGCATCCCCCTGGAAACCCCAGTCTCTCCACCCACCCACCTGCCCTGCTCCACTCTGCTCTTCATACGCCGCTGGGCTAACCCTCGAGCACGGTGGAGCTGCTCTGAAAACCCGTCAAAGGCTGGGGGTCAGGTCTGACCTTCCCATCATGGCCTGCTTCTCTAGCATCACCTGGGACCAGCTTCTCCCTCCTGTGTACGAGCCAGCCCCAGCGGGCTGAGAGTTACCAGAGCCCTCCCCGCCCTGGCTGGGCCCCGAGGTTCTCGGCTCACAGCACGGTGGTCCTTTCATCTCCAGTCTCTGCCTGAACGCCTTCCCCTTGGGGAAGCACCTTGTCCACAGTGGGAGAAGCGAAGTCACCCCAAGCTGAGGACCCACTGTGTGCACGGCCTCTGCAGCTGCCCTTCATGCGGACGTGTGATGCTGCACGTGTGTCTGTCTCCCTGAGGACAGCCAGGTGGCCAGGCAGGGCTTGGTGGCCCTGGCTTGAGCTCACGCCCCACCCCACGCCCCACCCCCCAGAGGCTCAGAACTGGGCTCGGGGGGTGTTGGCAGGAGTGGAGCCTGCCCCCACGGGCTCTCCCAGCACCTGTCTACTTGCCCAGGCGCAGCCCTCTGTCCCCACACCCGGCACACCCAACGCAAGCTCCCTGGCTGTCCAGGGACACGTCGGGCCCAGATACACAGGACCATTTTCCCTGACCCTCCTCTGAGTCCCTCATTATCCCGGCCGTCACCCTGGCAATGTCCTGTCGGGACATCAGCACTGTCTTCTCAGCTGTGGAGACTTCTCTCTAAGATGGAGCAGATCCTTTGCCTGTGGGAGCAAGGGGGTGGTGCTGTGCATTAATCATGGTCCTCATATTCTGTGTTTTGTGGTGGTTGACATCTTGGGGGGCCTTGCTGGCTGGGAGAGATGCCCCTCCCAGGAAGCTAATTCCTAGAGATCCTAAGCAACTGGCTTGCTGACTTGTCCTTCAGATGCAAACCCACCAATCTGAGTCCATCACGCCAAGTCTTCCTCGTGTGCCTCTCACAGAGCAAGCTGGTGCCTGCCACCCCAAACCAGCCAGGGCCAGGGCCGCCTGCGCCCCGAGGCCTGCACCATTATTCACAGCGGCCGACCCCACACCTGCCTGTCCTGCCTCACTGCTCCTGCACTGAGGGGCCCCGACACGGGCTGAGGGCCCGCCCTCCCGGGCTGAGGGTCCTCCCTCCCAGGCTGAGGGCCCGCCCTCCCTCCCGCCTCCTCCTGGAAGCCGGTGCTTCCCCCTATCACCCTGCGGTGCTCATCTCTCGTTTCGGGGGAACCGTGAGAATCACTGCACTTTTAATGGCTTCACTCTGTCCCCTCCACAGATTAAGATGGGGACAGGTCATGGTGCTGATGCTTCCATTCCTAACACTGCGTGGTCTGCAGGGGAAATCAAGCACTCATGAGGGATTGGGCAAAATTTTCTAGAAAGGTTGACCTGGGTAGGGGTGGGGGTGGGAAGCCTGGCAGGGCCCGCTGAGTCTGGCTCAAAGGGTCTGGCCCCGAGAGGTGCATTGCTGGGGCTGGAACTTCAAACAGCCCCCCATACAGTGCTCCTTGGCCCCCTCCCAGCCTGCGTCCTCCTCCTAACGCCGTTCCCGTGTCCACCCTGTGCTTGGGATGGTGGGGGTCCTGGTTATGGAGGGAAGCTCACATCCGTGCCCACGGCATCTTCCTTGTGGTTGAGTCCTGCCTTGCTTATGAAATCAGAGTATCTCAGTATGATAATAAGTAATCAAAATTCAATGAATAAAATAGTGAACTCTCCTAATAAAATGCAATGTCTGCATCAGCAGAACCGTCCGCTGGGCACACTGGCATTTGTTCTGGGTCCCCTGGGGGCCAGTGAGGAGTGCAGGAGATGCTGCCAAGCACCGGCAGGGATGCAGGCTGGCGTCCCCGCCTCACCCAGGGGCACGAGGCGGGCGAGGCCGGCGGCTTGCGGGCAGCTTGCGTCCTGATGGCTTCGGCTTTCACAGGGTAACCCCATAAAGCAGTCTCTTCAAATGCATCTTTGAAATTCTGGCACTGTCGCCTCCAATAAAAGCTGTAGAAGGGAAATTTCAATAAGATAACTCAGGAACATTTAATTTTCTGCTCCTCTGGATTTGCTATCTTATTATAGCCATTCAGTTAGCTAATAAATGTCCAATCCTGTCCAATCTTCATGGAGAGCCAAGAGGCTGGGATTTAAATAATTGGATGGAATGTCTAGGGGGCAGCTTTCAGATGAGTCGGCTGACAAAACCGGTGGGTGCGATGTCTAACCCTGTTGTGGAAGTTGTTTCCGATTCGCGCAGGCCGACCAGCCCCCAGCTCTGCCCCAGGCCCCCGCCCGTTTGGCTGGGATAAGGGGTCTGGGTGGGAGGGGTAGTGGCAGGGGTGGAGCCCCTCGGGGTCCTGACTTCACTCTCAGGGGGAGAAGGGATCAAGGCTGGGAGCCGGCCCGCTGAGATGAGCCATCCCAGAAAGGCTTCCTTCTGTGGTTTTGACACCAAGTGCATATCCTGCCAGGCTTGTGGGCGATGGACGCAGGCTCACCTGGCACCTGCTCCCTTCGTGAGGGCAGACAGGCTAGGGTCCTAACGTGAGCCCAGCCCATCCTTCTGATGGGCCCGTCCAGGGTGTCTGCTGCGTGGGCCTGATCCAGGGACGGCCAGCGTGTCAGCTGGACCTGGGGTGGCCTGGGTTTCACCACGTCCACTTGCTTCCCATCACCTTCCTCAGAGACCCATCTGGAGGGATTTGGATGAGGCCACCGGATGAGGCCACCGAGGCCGGGTGTCCGTTGAGGCCAGTTGGAGGCTCCCCAGGCAGGGTGGGTCCCCCTTGCCCCCCACTTCCCTCTCTACTCACTCACGGGGTCACGCCGGCCTTGGGGGAGCTGGCCTGCAGGGCTGTGCTGGCCTGCACATAGCACTGTTGTGAGGGCAGGCGCGGATGCTCTGAGCGTAAGGTGAGCCCACCCTCCAGGCCTCATGAGAGGAGCTTTCTGAGGGCCCCCCAGCCCCAGGAGGAGGGTTCCCCAGAGGCCTTGGAAGACACCTTGCTCGGTGGACGTCAGATGTTTCTGGGCACATGGCCAGTATTGCTGGTGTCAGCCAGGCCATAGGCACGAGAGGCAGGAGAGGAAGGGCTTGCCCTTCACAGGCACAGCCTGAAGGCCCTTCGCAGGGCACAGTCTGAGGGCGGAGTCCGCGCAGGGCCAGCCGGTCTGCCCGAGTGATGACTGGGATGACTCAGAGCTGGGGACTCAGGGAGGCACTTCCTGAGGCTGGGCGGGGACCCTGGGCTGCATGGCCCGGAAGACTTAGCCTGGCACGGGCGGGGGGCGGGGCTGGTGGTGAGAACACAGGAAGGAGGGGCATGGACTTGGACCCACCACGTCCATGTCCCAGGCACCATCCACCTAATTGCACCAACACAGCTCATTATTTAGGAGCAAAACCCCGAGCAGATTCCGGGGTCTGCACCCCAGCAGGAATGCCGTCTGGAAGGGTTGCCAAGAATGTTCCAGGCTTTAGCTTCCTCATTTGTAAAACAAGAATGTGAGTGTCTCCTTCTCCACCTCTCAGGTCTCAGAGAAGACAAGGGTCCCTCCCCACCCCTTCCCACGTGGCCCCCTCCCCCACCCCTCCCCACGTGGTTCCCCCTCCCCCTCCCCCACCCCTTCCCACGTGGCCCCTCCCCCACCCCTCCCCACGTGGTTCCCCCTCCCCCCTCCCTCACCCCTTCCCGCGTGGCCCCCCTCCCCCACCCCTTCCCACGTGGCCCCCCTCCCCCACCCCTCCCCACGTGGTTCCCCCTCCCCCCTCCCTCACCCCTTCCCGCGTGGCCTCCCCACTCCAGCGCTAGAAATGGTGCTTTGCCTCCTTGTCCTGTCTCTTTCCTTCTGCTCTCAGCCCTGGAGAGCAGTCTGCTCTTGGGGGCCACGTACTGGTCCAGTCAGGCCCGTGGCCATGCCCTCTCCAAAGTCAAGGTCAGGCTACAACAGAGCAGGCTCCCAGGAGGGATGCATTCTACTCACAGGGTGTGGGGACTCAGGGGTGTCTTCAGGGTGCATTTTAGAACTCTTGCTTTCCACGGGTGTAGGGTGCTGGCCCCCTGACCCACGCGCCTGCAGGGGCCGGGCCCTGGGCCCTGTGTGGGGGTGCCCGAGGTGGGAGACGTGCCCCTGCTGTCCGCACTCGGGGCTCACAGTCCACCGGAGAGACAGCAGAAAGGTGTCGGCTCTGTGTGACGCCTCCATGGAGTGTGCACACGTGCATGCCCGCTTGTGTCCAGGTGCTTGGGCTGTGCGAGTCTGTGTTTTCGTATGTGTGTGGTGCAGCGCGTGGCCGGCGGGCCCGGGGTGGGGGTGGGAGTGGGGAGACTCAGTGACTCTGTGTGGGGCCTTAGGAGCCTCCCCGAAGCTCTGCCAGCTTCTTGTGGAGGAGGAAATGCTATCATCTCATTTGAGGAGTTTCAATTGATATGGCCCCCTTGTGTGGATGGGGAAACTGAGGCTTTGAGAAGGGACGCCCCTCTGGACCCAGTGACTCATCTCTCTGGGGAGCTAGAACACAGCTCTGACTGCCTGTCCACACCCTTTTAGGAGGGTTATGTCATCTTTTCAGGAGACATTCCTGGAGCCCCCATTGTGGACCAGCTCAGGTTTTGGGGTCATGTTTTCTGATAACCACCCATGTAAACTGCCTGATGCATGAAGCATAAATCAACACATTTCTACCCTGCTGAGATTGCTGAATACCCTGCCATGGCTCCTGCTATCTGTTGGGGCCAGGAGAGAGATAGCTTTATGTGCCCCATAACTCTTGGTAGCACAATGCCGTTGTTCACACGGTGACACAGACTTGCTATCATTCATCACCTGGGGAGAGAGATGGAATCGGTGGCTGTATTGAAAAGTGGGCTGGGAACTCAGAATGTCGCAGTTTCCCGTGGCTGCAGGGTGTCCGAGGATTGCCTTGCAGCCTAGCGTGTGGGCAGTTTCCAGGTCCCAGGTCTCTTTGCTTGGGGTGTGGTGTTCTGCAAGGTTCAGCTGGTCGGGTTGGAGATGCCCCACGGCAGCCCTGAGCCATGCTGGCGCCAGGAAAATGGGTAACTGCTAATTTGCAGTCGTCTAAAGTGTGGTGGGGACATTACTGCTAATTGGCAATAAGCGATACTAAATGGAGCAAGTTTCATATTAATGAGCCGTTTATCAATACGAAACGGCCGGCTGGCTCCTTCCGTCACGTGGTTGGCACTGGGTTTATTTGTGTCGCGGGTGTGTCAGCCTTACAGAGCTGGGCGCTGGTCCCTTCTGCTCTCAGCTGTCCTCCCTGCGGCCTCGGGGCTCCTGGTCTTGTTTCTAAACCTCTGGTGACAACGGCTCCCCTGAGTCAAGCGTCTCGGCGTGTCAGGCGCCGAGTTCACACTTCTGACCCCTTGTCTTGTGACCTGAGGCTCCGCGATTCTCCAGGTCAGAGAGCCCAGCCTGCCTGTCTTTTTCCAGACCCTGCAGAGGGTTCTGAGCTGCAGAAGGGGCTTCTGGTTTCCCGTAAGGCCCAGCCCAGACTCTACTGGTTTCTATAGGGGGACGACCTCCAGGAACATTTCAGTGTCCTGGGGCTGAATGCAACCTATGACCACAATGGTGGGTGGAGCTCATTGTTCTGGAGCCGTAATCCACAATCAGGGTGTCGGGGGTTCTGCTCCCTCTGGAGGGTCGAGGGGAGGGTCCCTCTTTGTATCTTGCAGATTCGGGGGCTTCAGGCTCTCCTGGCCTGTGGCTGCATCGTCCAGTCTCTGCCTCTGTCATTGCGCGGCCTCCCCTTCCCGTGTGTCTCTTCTGTCTTTGAGTCTGAGGACAGTTGTCATTATGAGACATCATAAAGGCTCACGTGGGTAACCCAGGCTGATCTCATGTAGATGTCCTTGCCTTGATCACATCTGCAAAGACCTTTTTCCAGGTACGGTCACCCACACAGGTTCTAGGGTGAGGTGCTATCCTCCAACCTACAGGTCAGATGGGGAACGGGAGGTGCCCTTTGTCCTCATGGGCGACCCGGAAGAACTGGCACTGGCCCCAACGCAGGGAGGGCCCTTTGGCCTGGCCAAGCGTCTTTCCATCCCTCCATCGAGTCAGCAGCAGCGTGTGCTGGTGGCTTTTGAGGACCCGTGGACAGTGTGTCTGTCCCTGGTGTCCAGTGAGGGAGGCGATGGTGCTGTGAGCTCCAGCTGTGTGCTGGACACCAGGGTGCCCCCATTACGGACACCCCGGCTCCCTGTTTCTGAGAAGAAGAGGGGCTCCCGAAACACTGTAGGAGCCCCGATGGGCAGGCAAAGCACTGCCCCCAGGACCCTGGTTCCATCCGTCACGCACTTGATGTACCATAAACAGCTCCCAGCGTCATCTGCAAACCCAGGGAAGCAAGGCCTGCCTCTGCAAGCCTGGTAGGATTCCGTGGGGATGGGACCCAGCACCTTGGTGCCGCCCGCAGCAAGGCCAGCCCTTCCCTGTCCCTGTCCCCAGCTGTTACCCGGGGTGGGCTGGCAGAGCCTGGCCTCCTATCCTGGGCAGGGGCTGTGGGGAACCCCACCCCGACCCCTGCCCAGGCCCTCAGTAAGGGACCAACTAGGAGACACACAGGGGCCGGAGGCTCCTGCCTCGCCCTGCCCTGCCCTGCGTCCTGCGGCTGCAGCCACGGGAGCTCTGCAGGGGACGCGGGGAAGGAGCAGAACGGGGTGCGTCCCTGCCCGCCTCTGGCCGACCCCAGTCCCCTCCACCCCTGCGCCCTCCCACGGCTCCAGCACCCCTCTTCCCATTGCCCCCCACTAGGCGTGGCTGTGCCTTCCCTTGGTCCCAGGCTCCGGCTTCAGTCTCCAGGGCGGCTCCCCAGGCCCGCCCTTCCTTCTGTAAATAGTCTCATTAATTTCCCAGTTCAGCCTTGGAGTGGAGTCCTGATTGCAGCTGGGAACCTCATTTTTCTGAAGTGGCATCATGATTAATTGATGTATTTGATGACTAAAGGCTGTCATCTCTCCTTCGTTAGGCTCACAGACTCCTCCTTCGGGGCCAGCTTTGGCTCCTCTGGCTACAGAGAGCCCTCCCTGCCCACGCCGGTCCACACCGGGTCAGCCCCCTTCCGGGACCCCCGTGTTGCTGATGGAGAGGGTGCAGAGGGCCCAGACCCCCGAGCACCCTGATGCTGGTCACTCGTGATTGTAGCTGTTCAGTCGCTCAGTCGTGTCTGACTCTCTGCCACCCCATGGACCGCAGCACGCCAGGCTCCCTTGTCCTTCACCATCTCCTGGAGCTTGCTCCAACTCACGTCCATTGAGTCGGTGATGCCATCCAGCCATCTCATCCTCTGTCGTCCACTTCTCCTCCTGCATTAAGTCTTCCCCAGCATCAGGGTCATTCCCAGCGAGTCGGCTCTTCGCGTCAGGTGGCCGTAGTACTGGCGCTTCAGCTTCAGCATCGGCCCTCCCAGTGAATATTCGGGGTTGATTCCCTTCAGGATGGATGGGTTTCATCGCTCGTGTGCCCAGCCTCTTCCCTGCACTTCTCTCAGTCAAGTACACACACCCGCTTCGGCCACCCTGTCCTCCAGGGTCACTGGCTCTGTCGGGATCTGGAAACCCCAGGAACTGGGACCGCTCTCCTGACGTCTACTGCAGGACATGGAGGGTCCAGGCCTTTCCATCGTGAGGGCTGGGTTGCAGTGTGTGTGCGAGGTTGCTGCCCCATGGGGCCCCACACAAAGCTGGCCTGCTCCGGAGCTCGGGGCACAGACGCAGGAATCAAAGCACGCACCCAGCCTGGAGTGGGTCTCCCCCGAAGATGTGGATTCCGGTCCTGATCACAGTTTGTCCCTCGTGGATCGCCAGCTAAGTGCACCCCCCCGCCCCGAGTCCCCGGGACAGATGTGAGCAGCCCTGTCCTTGGGCTGCCGTGGATGTACTGGCAGCTCTCCACTCAGCGCTCGGTTGGCTCGGGGACGGGGCGAGAGCGGTCTCTTGGCTTGGACGTGATCCGGTGCAGGTCATTGTGTGAGGTGCCAATAAGCTCTTGGGGACGGAGCTCGTGTTTCCAGCCCAGCCGCTCTGAGCAGAGCCACCGTGTGGGTGGCAGGGTCCCTGTGGGGGCTGGCGGGAGGGGCTCCGCTTACCTGGAGCCCCTGGGGTCTGTGATCCCTGCGGGCCTCCTCTGGCCCCCGCTCTCCTTTCCCGTGAGGCCCCAGCAGCTCATTCACCTGTTCAAACATGCTGGCTCAGTGCGCCAGCATGGGTTGATGGAGCTGCCCCAGCCGCACTGACGGCCCTGTGGGTGATGGGCAAGAGCTCCACCAGCCTCCTCCGCCAGCTCGGGGTGGGCATCGCGAGCTTGGCACGGGAGCTCTGGTGCCGGCGGGGGTGGCAGTGCACATGGGAGGGTCTTTCGAGTCCCGTGCCCTTTGCACGTTTGCTCTGGTTCCCCGCAGCCCTGGGCACAGGGCGGGGGGTGGCCGGCAGTCACCTGGGAGGGGTCTCCCGCTGGCCAAGTCCCGCCTGGTTCTGGCCCATCTTCCCTCTGGCTTAATCAGTCCTGTGCCTTCTTTTCAGGCAAACAGCAACCCAGAGTCTTGTGGAATGGATAATCAATTTCTATAATAAGTTAAATGGGTTTGCTTTTGTTTCCAGAAATCTCCCACTGGGAGAGGGATTTTTTAAAGAAGACTCCTGGGTTGAATTTTACTTCTGAACTCGGGCCTCCAACTGCTTCTGAGCTAATTGAGTGGAGAGCATGAGTGAACATGGGCGACAGCGCCTCCTCTGCACCACGCACTGGGGCTGGCGGCCCGGGACGGGGACCAGCCCTGGCAGAGGCCGCGCGGGCCCGTGCTGTGAAGGACAGGTCGGGGGCGCGGCTGCTCGCTCCTGCTCTGTTTGAAGGTCCCTCCAGAGCCGGCTAGCTGCTCCGTGACATGCCACGCGAGGCTTCCAGGACGTGGGGTGATGTTCGTCAAACATGCAGACCTGAGCCACCTAAGCGAACATCGGAGGGCCCAGCCCAGAAGCTGACTTCACGGTGGAACCAGCCCAGGGTTTGCAGCCGTCTGGAGTCTGCAAGTCTCCAGCACCATGGGCACGCGGCTTGTTACCCCTCAGCTTCTGGGGCTCAGAACAGATCCTGGTGCATCCTGTTCAGACAGTGTTTACTGGAGGGGTGAGCGAGGGGCAGGAGCATCTCTGGATTGTCCACCAGTCCAGTCTGAGGACGCA